ATGCCTTACAAGTTAAGATACCTATTGTAAGTGGACACTGGAAGTCTATTTAAATCCCTGAGTAGAACTAAAGCCAGGGCAATTCTAGGGTGAGGTGAGTTAGAGTTCATAATGCCTTTTCCCTCCAGTCACAAATAGCTTTTTTCACTGAAGAGACCTCTTCTAGTAAGGTAGGGCTACACAGGGAAAGCTAAGCTGGTGCCCTTTATCCAAGATTAAAGAAATGAAGCAGAGGTTTTTTTTTTGGGGGGGGGTTAAGAACAATTTGAACGTTTGAGGTGATAGGCAGCTATGGAGAGAGGCTGACGTGTTATGTGGTAATTCAGCAGCTAAATCCCCATTCTGCTGTGATTTACAGAGACAGACTTTCATTGGTTGTGTCACAAACCTCTGGTGATCTGAGTTTATCACTGAAACAACCTACTGGCTCTTAATTTCTACATTTGCACACACATTGTAATAAAGCCCTAACACAAAAGGGTGATTTGTAGATTAAAAATTCCTAAACCACAACTCTAATTTCCATGATCCTTGCCTGTGCATTTACAGTCCATTAAGGAAGGATCAAGTCTGATTTGTTTAGGCCCTATTAGCCCAGGTTTAGGAAATTGATAAAGCCAAGCAGTGTTTTAACTCTAGCCTGTAGGACTGGTTCTGGGGCTACTTCAGTGACTGACCTTGTCTTAATTCCTTGTATTCAGAAAGCAAAATAAAATGATAAAATAAAATTAAATTAAATTAAATAAATATCTATTTCATTAGTTTAAGCATGTGCACATATAAAACAGCCTGAAAAGTTGCCGGTTCCTTCCATAGAATAGTAATTTTTTGAGAAAAGGCTTAGAATGTGTAATGTCTCATGCAGGGGGGTGGGGAGGAGTCAACAATTTAACATAATCGCCCATTTATCTTTACTTGAAGGTTGCAGGTGACAGACAGAGAGATAAGTAGTGCAGGTTTTTCTGCCTCTCCTGGCTTCAGAGATAATAGGAGTGGAAGCATTTCTGCAAAACTAAAAGCACTCATAAATGTCAGGCTTTATGATTAGTGTCATTTCTAGTAATCAGTCCTGAGGGCTGGAATGGTTTAAATATGCCATTTGCCTTGTAACTTGAGAATGAACCTGATTTTTATGGCAATATATCACATGCAATCAGATTCACATTGTTCATTGGATGGGTAGATGTGATAAACTGCTGTCTGCAATATTATCACAGGAGATGACCCTGAAAGTCTGCAGAGATTTGTGACAGCATTAGCTGTGTGGCCTTTTCAAAGTCACCGCCATCTCTGGGTCTCACTTTCTCTATGAGATGATAGTACATTCAACAGTCAATTGTCATGTTAACTGGGAACAAGATACAATAAAGAAGTAAAAGTATCAAACCATTTTACTAATGCAGTTAAACCTCACTGATTTGGACTAATGGGGAGGGATTGTCTGAATGAGTAAATTCTGAATTACAAAATCCTTTTGAAGAATGACAGTTTTATTACTTTAAGTCTATTTTGTAATTCAAACTCACTATAAAACATTGCCTTAGTGGAGGTTTCATGAACACTACTTTAGCAGTTAGATTTGTAATGAATATAATTATATCTAATAAATGCTTCCAACATTTGAAAAAAAGTTTGTCGTCTTAAGGAAAAATTCAACTGACAATCTAGTCCAAACTTCATTTGCTTAACAAACCTCTCTTGGCCACATCCCTGATAATATAAAGTTAGACTGTAAACTGGTCCCTGTCCAGTTTATCACAGCTTATAAATTACAGGGCTCCAAATTAATGAGGTTTCACTGCCTTTTCTACTTTCTTCTCCATTGATTTATTTTTGGCATTACCACTAAATAGTGGTAAAACAATCAAGTTCATCCCTTGCTCCTTATTTTTGCTCACTCTTGGAAAACAGCAGATTGCAAGAAGGAAGAAGGTAAACACAAGCTTCTTGGTAATTGAGAAATTAAATAAACAGTCGTCGGATATGCAGCACTGATCACACTATTTTCCATAGTTGAGAAAGGGGTTGACTTATTTCAAAAGGTTGGCTGGAGGAATGACTGAATAAAGTGATTTGACAGACACCTGGCAGGTAGCACTATGGTCAAAGAAGTTGAAAACAATTAGAATCTACTGAAATATTTTTCTATTTGTATATCAAAAACAGATAATCTGGAAATCGTGGGCTGGCAAAAAGTTACTTGATAACTTTGCAGTACTATCAGCTGAAAAAAAAAAGTTTGATTGCTGGTTGTCATTAGTAAATAGCTGGTCTAAAGTTTTAGGGGTCTTCGTGGCACCAAAACGTCTGAGTGAAAAGTAAAAATTCAGCCAAATGTGTGCAGATAAGTTTTTGTTTATGTAGCATCAAATATTTGGTTATTTGAAAACTTCTGGCCACTTTGCATCATGTGGATGTTTTAGAGTCATCTTGATACAGTTTATGGCTCCTTTTTAACCATGCTGAGTATGAATGATGAATTCCATAGAGCAATGTATACAATCCAGCTCAATTTTCTTTCTGCAACTCACTTCAGTGGAATAATTAGTTTCTCCATGGCCTGTTTTTATCACAAGAAAAAGACCAGGAAGAAGGTGCTAAATACTGTAGGCATCAGGTTAGCCACTGCAAAACTCAAATGTGCTAAAAGCTTGGCTAAACTGTCAATGTCATTAGTTCATACTGGTGCAAGAGGAAATTATTGTTTTTTGAAACATATTAAAACCTTGACTAATTGGAATCCATATGGGATAAATCAAATTTTCAATAAGAATACTCATTTTGTTTCATTCTTGGCTAATAACATTTTTTTCTCAAAATGCTTGTATCCACTTTCTCGCCTCAGGAAAACAGCGTTTAATGTTTGAGGGTCAATCCAGATGGAGAGAAGATAAAGGAGACAGAGCTGAATGTGACCTAACCACAGGATATCTCTTGGCAAGTGATTTTCTAAAAAAATCAATTCCTTGCAGTCTTCTCTTTTAGTACTATTGCTGCTTTCTCATCAATATGGGTACTGAAGGGGGTGAGTCAGTTCAATTAATTGGGGTACTGGTTAGGTGCGTTCTGGTTAATCAAGGCTTTACAACCAAAGACCTTGTCAGTGCTTGGTAACATATGTGCTAAAGAAATGTTTCATTAAATTTATTTCTTTGAAAGTGCTCTGTACCAGTGTTTCCAAACCCATGTTATACTGCAGACTGACAAACTAACTTTTCTGTCAGGATCCTGAGGAATGGAGAGGAGCAGAGGTGTAACCATTGTCTGTGAAGGAGAAAAGTTTTGGCTTTGCCTATTTGTTGGTCTGTGATTGGGAAACACTTTTCTTCACCTTAAGATGCCATGGATTCTTGGTCATACAAGAACCGATCATGCTTCAATATAATTCTCATGTCTTTGGGTCATAGAGGTTTCTGTTTTCAGTCCTCTCCTGTACTTACCCAGTGTGCCTTTCCATCACTTGGTATCATGGCTTCTGAGCTTGCCCCTATTTCTTTTTTCTTGGATGAAGCTTATACATTCGTATTGGCCCCAAAGAGCATTAAGGAACCAAAGTAATGCCAAGTTAGATGGTTTTCTCATGGTAGCAGCCTGGATAACAATTTGACCTACCTGAACCAAGAACATGGCTAAGGAGAAGTCAAATCAAGTATTCATACATATGGAGGATCACAATTAGGCGATGCACTTGTTTCAATATACAAAATGTCTTTGCAAAGTCTATATATGGGGTGGCCTATTGAAGAAAGACCCCATTTAACTTGAAACTGAGCTTGTTCTTTGGATTTCAAGTTAAATGGGGCCAGCTTATCTAGGCCATCACATATAGAGAACAACATCTCATCACGAAAACACATAATTGAAGAAGCCAACTCTAATCAACTAACCAACCTCTGTGCGCAACATCATGCCTTAAGAAAAAAAAAAGCTATAACCTGACTTTTTAATAGATGGATTTGATTTCTTATACCACTCAACTGAGGCAGGCGGGGACAGTCTTAAAGAAAGCCTTGGGCTCTTGACAGCCTAGGGCAGTGAAACCCATACCATGGCCTTCATAAGGCAACCAGTCTAGTATGTGAGGGGAGGGAAAGGGTGTGGATAGGGAGCCTCTGTCTGGGAGTTTAAGAAGGGACTCAAGTTAGATCAAAAATGCGGGCAGTGCCCAGAAGTCTTTCTGGTTCCCAAAGCTGCCAGGCAGGCGAATAACCTGGTCATTCCACTTTATGTGTGAGTCTTGTGCTCTCTCCTCAATAATAAGATAACAGTCTTGCCGATTACTCGTCACTAAGGGTACCCGGTTGTGGTGACATTGAGGCTGACCTTGGAGTCACCGCCCCCGCTGCCGCACTCTCCTTTGTCGTACCACCATTTGTTTTTCAATTTGTCCAAGAGGCCTTGCTCATTCAGTTTTAATACTGCCAGGTTAACAGCATTTCTTGAAACGATAAAACATAACTTGTAAGAAAATGCACAAATGCTTAGGAAATCGTTAACGTATAAAAAAGGAGCACAAGAGGACAAATTGGCTAAATTTCACAGAACGTGGAGCTATAAAAATGTCTGTACAGCAAATACAGGGTTAAATATTGGAAGGTGGCATGGAGGATAACATTTGCTCAAAACTGAAGTGTGCGGGATGGGGAAATTGTCTTTGAGAAAAAAAAGTAACAAGAACACCACATCCATGCAATTAACATTTGTCACATATGGCACCATAACTTGGCTTTTACCATTTAAATTGAAAAAGCCATTGAACTGTAAAATTAAAACAGCAACAAACAGTCAGAGAGGACAACACAGAGAGAGAACATTAAAAAAATGGATGCATTAAATAGATGAAACCATAATTTACCGTCTTATTTAACTCCATGGAATATTGTAGGTTTTAAATTTTTAAACGTTACCTCAAAATCCACAAGAAAGAAAATGACAACAAAATGCATCAGGGTAGGTGGAATACTATAACAACATGGATATTGTTATATTATTCCACCCACCTTAATGCTGAGCCTTTAGGTGTTGCCACACCATAGCCTTTGGAATCCAGATTTCCACCAACTTTCATCGTATCACACGGTTTTCTCTGCTCAATGTACTCATTCATGGTTGACTCCAACAGGAAGGCGAACTTTCCCTTGGACTTCCGCACTCGGGCCACGCCGTCTGCTGTTGTTTTGGTAAACACAGATGGCTCTGCTGATTTCATGTAAGACCACATTTTCTCATAGACAGCAATTTTGGACCTCTGCAACAGAGATAAGAATCCTTACAGCTACCATATTTATAACTGCAAGAGGCCCCAGTGCAGTGGTTTTCAAACATTTGTTTATTGCCATCAATATTAAGAAAAACATGTTAGGGTCAGCCGGGTGGTACAGTTGGTTAAGAGTGCAAGCTCTGAGCAACAGGGTCACCACTTCAATTTCCACGTTGGGCCAGTGAGCTGCACCCACGCTGAGCTTCTGCTGAGCTGCCAACGGGCGGCTGAATGACTCAGCTGGTGAGAGTGTATGCTCTTAACAACAAGGTTGCCAGTTTGACTTTCACTTTAGATGGTGGGCTGCACCTTCCCCCGCCCCCCCAGCAACTAGGCTGAAATTGGTAACTGGACTTGGAGCTGAGCTTGTGCCCTTCACAACTATGATTGAAGGAGAACAACTTGACCTGGAACTGATGGGTCCTGGAAAAACACAATGTTCCCTTTCACCAATTTCCCAACACTGTTTCCTTCCCCAATTGCCCAATAAAATCTTAAAAAAAGAAAGAAAGAAAAACATGTTACACTGCAACCCAGTAGATACATTCATACATAGGAGTATGTAAACATGGTTTCAATAGATTTCTGAATCTATTCATCCTTACAATGGGTGATGTTCTCTGATATTTCTATTCTATTCTAATTTGCTTTAAAATGCTGATCAGGTGATCCACTAAATTGATGTCATGACTCCACTAATTGGTTACAATGTAGTTTCAAAAACACTTTCTTAGTTCAATCTTTGTCTCAATGCAGAAATCTCCCTTACAATATCCTGTTAAATGATTATCCTTTACCTACCTGAAAAAAAAGCCATTGAAAGGGAATCTATTTCCTTTTAGCCAGCCCACTCCAGCATGGGGTATTAATTATTATAAGAAAACATTTTCTTATTCTGAGCTGAAATTTGGTTCCCTATAACTCTCACCCTTTAGTACTATCTGCTAGAGCTACACAAAGCAATCCTGTTCCTTCTATGACATGATCATACTTCACATATTGCAAGGCTGTTATTATGTCCCCTCCTTCTCTTTTCATCAGGCTAACTTCACCTACACCTAATACTATTTCCAGAACCCTCACAATTTTGGTCTTTCTCCCATAGCCACATTCTAGTTAGCAATGTCTCTTAAATTGGTGTGTCTAAAAATAAACATAAAGCCCTAGATATATGATAAGGACAGAATAAAAATGAAAACTGCTTTTTGTCAGTAGAGCATTATTTTCTATCACTACTTCCTGGGTTTGCATTAAGATATTTAGCCTTTCATCCATCCTTTCCACAAGTGTAAAGCACTCTACTGGAGGTGTGAAGAATATCAGAATGACTAGAGTGCCTTGCTCAACTCAGTTTGAGGCCAGATCAAAACTATTCTTTCTACCAAGTCAAGTTTCCTTCATTTTTACTTTTTGATTTTGAATTTAATTAAATTCCATTACATTTTATCTCAATTGAGGTGGTCCTTAGAACATGTACTAAATGCTTGTAGCTCTATGTTAGGTATTCTGGAGAATATAAAGGAGGCATGGTCTCAATGACTCCATTACTTTCAATTGAGTTGGGAGCTAGGTCCTGAGGAGTGAACTCTAGAGAAAAAATATAAAGTAATATTTGACCAGAGCTGAGACAGTATGGTACAAACTACAAACTTATGCCATATTTTCAAGTGTCCTTTTATGGGGTTTCCTGGACCCCATTGTAGCCTTTTTGATTGTTTATTTATTTGCTCTTCTCTGGATTTTGGCCAGCTACATTGAATCTTTTTTGAGGCATGCTTGGATCTACTCAAATAATTCCAGAGGTCTGGAACTCCCAGAGCTATCACCATGGAAACTACATATTGTATTCATGACAATCAGACCTTTACTGAGTCAACGGAAACTGTTCACTGAATGGGAACATAAAGAACAGGAAAAAGCCTGTATGGCTGAAGCCAAATGAGCAAAAGATAATGTGGTAGGAAATGAGCTTAGGAGAATAATCAGAGGCCAGTTCTTGGGCCCTGTATGTAGTGGTAAAATGTTTGGAATTATTCTACATGTGTTAAGAAACTACTGGAAAATTTTGAGACATGTGTGATAAGATCTGAATTAAAATTTTAAAATGTTACTCTAGCTGCTGTATGGAGAACAGACTAAGGTGGGACAAAGTGGAAATAAGAAGATTGGTTAGGCTAGTCTTCTAATAGTCCAGGGGAGAGAGAGTTGTGGCATGAACTAGGCTGGGAGAAATGGAGGTGGAGAGAAGAGGTTGGATTCAAGATATATTTTAGGGAGAAAGTAAACAAGTCTTGCTGTTGGACATCTTCATCTTATGGTTCTATAGACACATTCAGATTAAACATTGCTAAACCAAATTTATTATCTTCCTTGTAAAGACTATCTCTTACTAAATTCTATCAGTAAAGCACCTAACATTCAAGCTAGAAAGTTTGGTTTTTATTCCTTCTTCAGCCTCTCATTATTCCATGTTTATTCTAACAGAAATGCCTGTAGGATCTGTCCTTTTGTCTTTTTCATTCTCATTATCTTTGCCTTAGGGCAGGCTCACATCAGTTTTTGGTCTGCACTACATTATCACCTAACTGATCTACTGGTTTCAGCTCTCCAATGTATCCTCCAGTGATCTTTCCAAAGTGTAAATCTTTTCAAGTTACTTCATTGTTTAAAATTATCTGATAGTTCCCAAATACCTACAGGACAAAATCCAATTTCTTGTGTATGATATTCAAGCATCTTTATGATTTTGGCTATGCTCTCCTTTGATCTGGTCATACTGGGCTACTCACTGTTCACTGAAATATACTACATAATTTCACATCTTATGCCTTTGGTTATCCTTTTGCTTCTTCTTGAATTATTCCTATTCATCCTACAAGATCCAGAGGAAATATCATGTCTTCTGTGAAATCTTTTTTCACTCATTTCTGTCTTCACAGATGTGCTTTCTTGGCTTTTCTTTCAAAGCACTTTGCTGATAGCTTTGCTATAGAGCTTACTATATTGCATTAAGATGAGTTGGCTATATGTCTGTCTTCCCCCATGTTACTGGTGTTCTTGAGGACAAAGTCTATGCCTGATATATTTTGGTAGCCCTCTTGGCAGCCAGCGCAATGCCTGATACATGACACTCAAGATATATTTACTTAAAAACTGAAGCTTAAGCCTGATCAAGGTGACAACTAGGTTGTTGGTCAAAGATATCAGGAGGTTGGTGAAAATGGCTACCAGGACTAGTTTTATAGCATTGTAAAAATTCTAGAGCTGAAGCTACTCTAAAGATCATTGGTTCCAATTCCCAGCGAAACCAATCAGGATATATGCCTTATAATCCATTTTTTTTGCCATTTAGCCTGCTTCTAATGTTCACACCAATAACTCCCCCTAATAATCAAGGCTTTCTAAGATTGAAATCTCACCCACTGACAATTATGTTCATTTCATATTGCATTATCCTCATCTGGTATACTAAACAATGTCTAAGCATCATAATGAAATACATTTTCAATGACTTTATTTTATTTCAGTAGGAATTTCTTAGCTGCTCAAAGAATTTAAAAAATAGGAAATAATTCAGATTTTTGGTCAAGATGGCAGAGTACGTAAATGCTGTGTTTGCCTCCTCTCACAACAACATCAAAACTACAACTAAACTACAGAACAACCATTAATGAGAATTGTCTGAAATCTAGCTGGACAGAAAGTCCTACAACTAAGGATATACAGAAGAAGCCACCTTGAGACTATTAGGAGGGTCAGAGATGTGGAATGAGGCTGGACCTACACCAAATGTGGTGGTTAAAAATCAGGAGAGATGTATTGGCTGCAGAGGTCCTCCTGAAGAGTGAGGGGTCCCAACCCCACACCTGGCACCCCTGCCTAGGGTTCAAGTGCTGGGAAGAGACTAACTTACTGATGGACTCACTTGCTCTGAGCTCCAGCAGAGGAGCAGCAGATCAAAAGGCACCAGGAACATACAGGGGGAGGTGGGGAATTGAATTGTCTGTCTTCAGGATGAGAGCTGGAGGGGCAGCTTTCTCCCAGACAGAAGGACTGGCAGAATATATTATTTCTTTGTTGAGTCTTCTCTCCTCCTGGTGTGCCAACCCAGGTGGCTGCCATATCTGAGTCTCTAACACTGTTTGCCCCACTCTGGTGATTCTGAGACCCCTCTTTACTTAACTTGTGGAACCACTCAAGTTGCTTCCAGTGGCTTTTACATACAAATGGCCTGTCTTGGCTCAAGCTGTGGGCTTTTTGAAAATCTCTCAAAGGCGCATAAAACCCAAAGAAGAAGCATCTGGCCTCAATGGACCCCCCCCATACCTCTTGCTGAGCATCCCCAAGCCTGGCACTAGCAGCAAGGTCCTTGGTTCATGGTTTGGCATCTCAAGGCACCTCCAAGCCCAGTGCAGGTGGCTGTCATCTACAGATTGCTTTGGGGCTCATTCCAGGTGGCCCTGGGTGGGGAGCAGGCTGTGGCTGAACTTGGCCAGCAGTGGGGCCCATCCCAAGAGGCCCTGGAGCCAGTGAGCTTGGTGGCCAGCTTTGGACCAAGCCAGGATACCACCCACTGCCTCCATGGGCAACATTGCCAAAGAGCAGACTGAGCAGGCACCAGCCCTGCTAAAGGGAATCCTGCTCCATAGGGTCAGCCCCTGCACAATAGGTCCTGCACTGTAGTCACAGCCAGTCCTCACAACGGATCAGCCCAAGGGTAAATCCTTTCAATTGATGTGCAAACAGCAACCAAAATTCAATTACAATGGGAGGGTATGCACAACCCACACATGGGACACATCTGGAGCACATGGCTCAGATGACCAGGAAGGCTGCCACTGGGCTCCACAGGATACCTACTACATAAGGCCCCTCCACTGAGACCAGACAACATAGGAGCTCTACTTAATACATAGAAACAAACACAGGGAGGCAACCAAAATGGGGAGACAAAGAAACATGCCCCAAATGAAAGAACAGAACAAAGT